CAGTTCGCATACCGACGTAGCCGCCAATGACATTCCTCCTCCTCCGCTGCTGTCTTCACAGCCCACTCCGTGTAGCTTGGGAAGTTTGTCAGCGTCTGGCCGTAGGTCCTCTGACTGTACTTTCCGAAGCCCATGTAGTTGTCGTAGCTCGCGGGGACCTTCGTCTCCATCAAGTAGCGTAGCATGATGGCCCGCAGCTGATCCATGGTATGGCGTGAGCTGTACGTCTGGTTGTGCTCGGAGAGGAGGTCCATCAGAGCTTGCTTCGTCTTGGCTCTGTTGATCATCTTGGAGGCCTCCCGTTCGGTCATGGGTAGATCCATGGATGCTGTCAGCTCTGCGATTCTCGTGGCTAGCTGCACTTTCGTCCATGATGCTGGTGGCGTCTCTCCCATCTTGATCAGCTTCTGCTGCATCTCGAGCTTGGTGCTGCCCGTGGTCGGCATCGTAGACTCCGTAGACACCGAGGGAGGTGGTGCTTGGAGACGGATCAGGCTTGAGGCACTGTGACGAGCTCGGGAACACGGAAAAGGATCTGCTTCTGGTTTTCCACGGAAAGGGAAACCCATGACTCTTCAACCAAGTCACTTGGTTCTTGGGGAGTTTCGGGAAGCTACTCAGAGTGTATCCTATCATCAGGAGACGGTTTCCATGCCACGGCATAGTCTCGTGCCATTTCCTGGGATTTACATACACTGGTTGTTCAAGCTTTTGAAGACATCCCGAAACCTGTTTTCCCTCACATTCCCGAACAACGGCACTCGTTTCCAAGCCTGTAACCTCTTGCTCCATCCAAATTTCTCCCCCATCCCTCGGTTTTTCCAAAGGAATCACAAGGTTGTAGCTGTCTGACATGTTGTACTTGTCCCTATGGGCCTTGGCTTGACAGTTGCATGACACTCCTATGGATGTCGCCTGAAATCTCGGGTCACACTCTCTCATCATCTGACACATCACCCTCGTCAACCATGGGTACTCCCTAGTCACCCTAGTCACACCACATACCCCACTGTGAGCAAACATTCCGAAAACCACATAACCCGCAGGTCTCTGATCATCGTCACCATCTCGCATCACCACCTGACTTCGGTCCTTGTGCTTGGGGGTGAGGTCGCTCCAGGGGATGGCCTTGAGGAACTCTTTAAGCTGGGCCTGTTTCGCGTTGGTCTTGATCAACTCACGGGCCTTGGCTTCTATTTGTTCCTTCAGGTTCCTAGGGTTTGGGCCCTGGTTGGTCCGATACTCAGCTTCCCTAAAGCTCCACATACAGGATTCGGACTTCTGGGGTTGTGTTGATTCCATCTTGCTCTCACCTTCACCAAACATTTCACCTAGGTGGCTGAGTGATTCATCCCTGTACATAGCATCTGGCACACTGAACTTTTTAAAACCCTTCTGGTGATCTTGAGCGCCGGCGTTCACCAGAAGGAGCTGTCCCTAATGCCCGGGATGCGCAGTCTTCACATACTGCTGGAACGAGCTAAAAGGATGTTCAAGCGGAGTAGCCCCTTCAAGCACGTCCCGGGCCAAAGGAAACAGCTGGTGCCCACTGCTGGTGGTCTCGAGTGACACCACCGCCTTTGGGTCCAAGGCCTTGAACACGGCCTGGTCGTTGGAAAAATCTATCACTGCTCCTAAGGCTCGCAAACTCTTCACACTCAGCAACACTGGTTGACCGGGAATATCATGGATGTGCACACGCATCTGACTGTCCTTGCAGCTGATTGGCAGTCGGAGCAACGCCGTCGACAGGCAGGTGTGCTGTGCTTTGTTCCCGAACCTGAAGCTTGGTCGCTCCTCTGGGACAATCTCGATGCTGTCCCTTCCCGTAGCCTTCCAGTTGAGCATAGCCACTTGCTGTAAGGCCTCTTCCGATCCCAGGCTACTCGTGGCGCCGCCATCGATGATGGCCTTGCCGGTGGCCACGATCTCGTCCAAGGCCAACAAGCTTGTCTCTGTTGCTGCTGTGTCGTCGTCTTTGGCATCTGGCTCCGCAGTTGTCCTGTCGTCAACGGCCGAGAACACGAAGTGCACGCGCTGGTCTCCGGTGTTTCCAGATGTAGCCTGGGGACAGTCTCGGCGCAAGTGATTGCCCCCACATCGGAAACACTTGATTGGCGGCCGGGAGCCTGGAGCCTTAGCTCCAGAAGATCGGCCATTGTAGAAGCCGCGATTCCTTCTCATCTGCGCTTGCTTCTCCCTGGCGTCCTTGAAAGTTCGCCACGATCACGCTCTTTTCTGTAGTATCCAGCCCGGACCGTTGTAGTAGGAGCCACGCGATGACAAAATCCGGTAGGAACCGTTCCGCCTGGGCTGATGCCGTGGCCGAGGCATCCCAGGTGGCCCAGCTGGCCGCACTGCCGCCGGGGCGGCCCTTCCACCAGCCATATGAACTGGAGTAGGGCTCCTGGGTCCAGGAGTCCCAGCCACCTTGCCAGCCCTGATCCCACCAGTCGGTGTTGTCCTCGGAGCCCTCGGGTACCTCCTCGGCCTCGTGGACATTCTCAATCTCGGCTTCCGCCTCTGCTTCAGCGGATTCTACGAACTCCTCGTCAGGCTGCGTGCCGCCTGACTCCGAAGAACCTTGCACTCGGATCTCCCCCCTGCGGGGTGTCCTCCAGGATGTAGAACTCCTCGACGACGCCACCTTCTGTCCAGGGCCATACTC